AAACCTTAAGATTTAGGTATTATAAACCTTATTGAAACAGACACTTATTTTGTTCAGCGAATCCAAAAATGCAATAATATACAGGACATTCCATTTAAAAAACGATACTTTTAGAGCTTTTGGGACACCCTGTACATTACAAAAATATTTTTAAAATATGCGCCCGGTAGGCGTCGGACAATTCATCAAATAATACTTTTTCAAAATCAAACGGTTTAGCCGCAAACTTCCGTGCCGTATAGCGTGAATAACCCTGTATAATGAATCTTTCAAGAAAGGGAAGTCCTGGGGATCAGTCTTTCGTGGTCTTCAGATAAAATATTTCTTAGTCTTATCAGGCTTTCATACAATGCATTTCAACATCGGATAAATACCAGTCAGTGCAACTCAATTTAAAATAAATAACTTTGTAATTTCTGGTTCTTGAGCACGAGTTGAGTGGACTGACTTTGCCCGTACAATTAGAAAATAATTTCTGTCCTTTTTTCTCCTCAATTTCTGCTCCTTGTCCAAAAAAATTGTACCTCAACTTCAACATTGAAACTCTATCTTTCTAAATGATAACCCGCTTCTACGTTTTAAAACGCGATTTTCCAAATTTCCTACTTTTTAAAGTCATAAGAAGAGGACGTAAACCAGCGTCGTTGAAAATGTGTAATTTTTCCGGGTTTATTTGAACATTACATACCAACTGCTAAAGGGATTATATGTTTTTGCAAAAATCCGAACAGATGAAAATCGCTTTAGTCACCCAATTTTGCCCTCTTCCATTGCAAATCTTTTGACTTTGAGAGTTTTATGCACCATTATTTAAATATTGTATGAGTAGGTGTTGGTTTTGTTTGTAGGTTTTCGCTCTCCGTGGACAGTTAGGACAACAATACGAAGAACTAATCCGAAGCCTAGACGCGGCCGTAGTAAGCCAATTAAAAGAATATATCACTTTTTAGGTATTTTATTTGACTAATTTCTAAATTTTCTTTTATCGCCTGCCTGAGTGCTTGCTTGTGTACGCAAGTGGAAACTACTAAGGAAGGTTGTTGATTTAGTAATGTCCAAACATGTTCCGTTAAATGTAATATTTCAAACTAGTTTTATTTTACTATACTCTGTATAAAGATTGATCCGAGCGGACATTAAATATTTTAAATTTTAGAACATGTTTTCTTTCCCCGATTTTTCACTCCATTTTCCTTTTTGTTACCTCCAATCCTTCGATAATGTCTCAATTGCCCAAGAAGTACAAAACAATGTTTTATTGATCTACTAAATAATCGATACACTATGGGTGGTTTAAAAGTAGTCTTCATCGGTCATTTCCTCTCCCGACCAGTCATAGTTTTCCAAATGGTCGTCTAGATTCGACATATCAAAGTCTCGAAACTCTTCAATATCAGCAGTCAAAGGCACTGTGGAAACTTTAATCGCTCGTTCGGTGGTTGCTTGGGCCTCTGCCTGAGCCACTCTGGATGCTGGTTCAGGTTTTTTCGTCGCTTCCACCAATGGATTCACATAAGCTTCTAGCAGCTTTTGCTTCTGGAGGATTCTGTGCTTGTGTTTGACTTTCTTTTTTGAAAGAGCGTAGTCAAAGTCAAACTTCGGCGGCCTACCAAATTGAACAAATTCATTAAACGTTAATCTAAATAGCCGAAAAGTTTTCCTACAGTAGTTGATTTGATTTGCCTGTACCTCTCGCCTACGAAAACCTTTTTCTGTAAATGGACTATGTCGTGACGCACATCAGCCAACATTAGTAACAGGAAATCGAAGGATCCTCGGTCTCCTTTGGGACCACGCAACCCCCTTTCTCCCTGTTCGCCTTTTTGACCTGAGGGCCCTCGCGGCCCTTCTTGCCCCTGAAATAGCATATCGGTTTTTGGCTATTCGTTTCGGTTTAAATGATTTCGGGTGCACATCAGCCAGGATTTAAAGAATTTTCCTTATTTCTACTATCTTCCTGCTCGAATTGGTGCTGTTGGCAACGTAAGTTGCCACTGTTTTAATGTTTTTCAGGGATTTTATTTAATTTAGTTTCGCCCAGTTTATCATGCAACAACGGGGATTCTAGATTTCGAAGCTTTGAGGAAAACCTCACCCTGAATTTTAATTGAATGTGGCAAATACATTGTGTAGTTTTCGGAAACTTTATAGAAAAAAATCGTAAATTGCAACTACCGCACTTTAAATTAACCGCAAATAACAAAATCAATTTTTTTCTATTGTCTTGTCACAAACCGAGTTTTGACTTGCTCCACTTCAATCGCTAAGGTTTTGTGAACGTGTGCCAGTTCAGTTAAGCGCTTTTCCGCCATTGGAGCTCTGAAAAAATCCGGCAAAAAGTTGATCCGAGACCGCGTGCAAAAATAAAGCGACTTTAATTATGTAGTTCGCTGCCTTCGGAACGTGGTAAAAGCCTAAATATCGCTTGTAAATCGTAATCTTTTCCAGCTATCATAAAATTTTTTCAAGCTATCATAAAATTTTTTCAAGCCGTTTGTTACGGAAAGTGAACAAAATACGTCGTTAGTCCTTTGTTCATAGACGGCATATACAGGATGATTTGGTACCTACAAGGAAAGTGCGTGCTAGATTATCCGTTATCTGCTTACGGACAGATTCAAGTTTTCAATTCGGAGTGGATCTTTATAGTTTGTTCAAGTGTAGTTTGAGTGCTTTGCGGACTAGAAAATGGAGGATGGGGCGCCAGCTTGCAGAAAACTGGTAAGAATAAATTCTAATGTATAAATCCTTTAGTTTAAAGTGAGTTTAGTTTTTCGAGAAGCAACTGCATTTTTTACTTTTCTGTATTTCTTCTGGTCATTTCAAATAATTAACGTTTTTACTGAGTTTCTGTAACACTAATAAATGGTTTTTTCTCTGCAGGTACACTATGCAGCTTTTGGTAAGCACTATGCAGCTTTTGGAATTACTTTGCCGCTGGTTGCCATGTAGATGTAGAGCTTTTAGTCCCAGATTATTGACTTGGATTTTCTCAATTTTTCATGACCCCCATGAGCCACATAACTCCCCTTCTGGATTTGCCCTTGGTTGCAAATTTGTTTGTAGGAAGCGAAATAATAGCGTTAGCGTGAACTTTGCAGCATGTTTACGCCTATATTTAACGTCAACAGTATAAGCACATGGAAATTTCACTGTTTTTTTTAAACTGAGTTAAATTTTAAATTTTGTCCCTTTCGCGAGACCAATTGAGGCAATAACTTACAAGCCGAACCTTTTTTAAGTGTCAGTTAGTTATTAGGGATGAGTCGAAATCTGAGAGTTTTTGCCAACGGTGCTCGCAAACCTCCTAGTTTTCATTAAGCAGCGGGCGAAATCTATATTTTTTATCCTTTGCCTCAATATGCTGAGAACGCAACGAAACAAATTAAAACAATTTTTTTAATTTTTTAAAGTAAAAATCATTGATTTATTGAAATTCGAATCGAAGTCTCATGTCTCAATTGAGACAATAAAGTTACTAGCAGAATCTTTTTTAAGGGTCGGTAAGTTACTAAGCATGAGTCGAAATCTGAGAGTTTTTGCAAACGGTGCTCACAAACCTCCTAGTTTTCATTAACCAGCGGGCGAAATCTATATTTTTCGTCCTTTGCCTCAATATGCTGAGAACACAACGAAATAAATTAAAACAATTTTTTTAATTTTTTAAGGTAAAAATAATTGATTTATTGAAATTCGAATCGCAGTTTCATGCCTAGATTGAGGCAATAAAGTTACTAGCAGAACCTTTTTTAAGGGTCGGTAAGTTACTAAGCATGAGTCGAAATCTGAGAGTTTTTGCGAACGGTGCTCACAAACCTCCTAGTTTTCATTAACCAGCGGACGAAAACTATATTTTTTATCCTTTGCCTTAATAGGCTGAGAACGCAACCATATAAATTAAAACAAATTTTTAATTTTTTAAGGTAAAAATCATTGATTTATTGAAATTCGAATCGAAGTTTCATACCTCAATTGAGGCAATAAAGTTACTAGCAGAATCTTTTTTAAGGGGCGGTAAGTTACTAAGCATGAGTCCAAATCTGACAGTTTTTGCAAACGGTGCTTGCAAACTTCCTAGTTTTCATTAACCAGCGGGCGAAAACTATATTTTTCATCCTTTGTCTCAATATGCTGAGAACGCAACCAAATAAATTAAAACAAACTTTTAATTTTTTAAAGCAAAAATCATTGATTTGTTGAAATTCAAATCGAAGTCTCATGTCACAATTGAGGCAATAAAGTTACTAGCTGAACCTTTTTTAAGGGTCGGTAAGTTACCAAGCATGAGTCCAAATCTGAGAGTTTTTGCAAACGGTGCTCGCAGACCTAGTTTTTATTATACAGCGAGCTAAACGTATAATTTTCATCTTTGTCCTCAATATGCTGAGAACGCACAAATAAATTGAAGTACATTTTTATTTTTTCTCAGTAAAATCATTGATTTATTGAAATTCAGATCGCATTCTCAAAAGTGTCTGTCCTCATCCAGTTAAGCATAGAATTTGTAAGGTAATTTGCTAGACGACGTTACCCCCGAAGATCTAACGTGAGAAAAATTCCCAACTTATAAAACTTGCCTGTATGGAGAATTTGAATCCGATTTTTTATCATGCGGAAAGTTGTAAATTGCTACAATGTAGTTTCCCAAAGTGTCTAAATGTGATATTTACCTGAGCGCCTCGTTTACATTTGCATTGTGCGTTTTCTTCGTCTGAAAGTGGCACGAACGCGTCTAACATCGAATAGGTGTAATCAAGATGAGATTGTGAGCTGGATATGCTGTTAGATTCCACTCCTGCAAATGGATCATATTTGTCTATTATTTATTTAAATTTTCACTACTATCAATAAATTTTTTCGTTCATAAATTGTGTCGTCCAGAAGTATAAATCAGTATGTTTTTAAAGGTTGTTTCAGATTTATTTTGCTGTATTTTGCAAATCTTCTGTTAATTAAATATATGGCAAAATTACATTTTGCACTAATAGTGAAGATTTTTTAATGCTCTTTAAAGTGTTCTTGTAGCTGTTTAGACGTTGGTCGTGGTAAAATACCTCCGAACTATTGAGTGAAACAAGCAGGGAGTTTAATGAGATTTTTTTAAATTTCGACAGACAATGAATCGCACTGTTTGGAAGTGGAACCGAGTGTTTTTAGCTTTAAAATAATGGACTGTTTGTTTATAGGGCGCATTCACTATTCCTGTGAGGACCTTGAATTGATCATCCTGAAATTACGTTTAAACTTTCCTATCGGGAAAAACCATTTTAATTTTGTATTTTCATTATTTTAAAAAGTATTCATAATTTCGTAATTTTGATTAACTTTTAACTGCCTTTCTGAAACTTTTCTTGTTTGATTTTAAGCTCTTCTATGGTCAATAAAGTGCAGTTTGCACCATTTAATAACAGAAATACAACTTTATGGCAAATAGCCTTTACTGAAGTGGAATTATAGATGCATTAAAGTGAGTTTTTGTTGCAAAATAAAAAGTGCACAAAGAATTTCTTCCATTTATTATTCTGTTCCGTTCTGTACTTGAAAGGTAATTAGACCCTTTTGCAGAGCTTTGATTAAAGCGATTCATTAGCTTTATTTAATTTAAGAGGCCAAGGCCGTTTTCATTTTGATGATTTTTTTTTCATTTTTGTATAGCAGGGAGTTCTTATGTTTTGCAAGTGTTTTCTTGTTGAAAAATTGGTAAACTCATAACGATACATCAGTGAAGTATTTGATTAATAAACTATGGAAGAGTGTTGAAAGTTGTATTAAAGTCCTGCGACAAAACCACCGTTTTTACTAAACTATGAGTATTATTAAATAAAGGCGACTTATCATCCGGCGCCAAAATGAGGTAAAGGTCTTTGATAAAGGAATTTTCAATTCAATTTCAGTTTCCATAAAACAACATGTTTGCTTTGTCGAGCACGAAAACTCTTCTGGCAAATAAAAGCGAACGAAAAAAAAACACACACACACAAAGCTGCACTGTTGCATAATTTATATGTTAGTAATGTTTGCTTTGTTTGATGCTAAAATATTTCCCCATTCGTTTGGTCGTCAACACTTTGTGCGATCCCATCGCAAATTCACTATTTATGTCAATTATTTAACGCGGTTTTCATGTGAAATATGCGACAACCGGGAATATAACGAAATATTGTTCTTGTCCAATAATCGTGAAACTACATGCCCTTGTGTTGCTGCTGGGAATTTATTATTGTAAATTGTTTGATGTGCTGTCGAGGACGCAACAAGAGTGACGATTTTTTTTGCAAGTCTTTTTGTGGCAGTTTGCCGTTTCTGATTATGGCTTATTTTGCTCGACTGCCTCCATTTTTTTTGCCTGGCGACAACTTTTCTTGACTGGATGTATTTCCTCAACAATTCTAACAAATAAGAAGTTTGATGCATTTATTATTCAGCCAATAGCCAAAAATTCAGCCAAAGGAATCTTACCTGGAAATCCTCTAGGTCCAACAAGTCCAGGAAATTTATTTGCGTTTCCTGTTACGTTTGATAATAAGCTTTTTTTTAAGAGGAAATATCCCTGCGTTGCCTGTTAGGATTTGATAATAGCTGCTTATTTTAAAGAGGAAAGCTCTATGGACTTTGCCTTATAAAAATATTGTTTTTTGTTGTTTTCTGAAAAATCTGACCTGGAAATCCTCTAGGTTCACCCGGTCCAGGAAATTTCCTTGCGTTTTCTGGTGCTATTTGATAATGATTGGTTATTTTAAAGAGAAAATCTCATTGAACTTTTCTTAACGAAAATAATCAAAGAACTCTTTCCCTTTTCCTTCTTCTTTTAGTTAGGGTTTAAATTGATGTAATAAACTTTCCATAAGCTAAGAAATTTTTTTTTATGTAGAACGGGGTCCCTGATTTTATCAAATTATAATTACAATGTTTGTTCCATTATAAAAATATTGCCATTAGCTGAAGACTAACGATTTCTTGCAACTGAATTTTAGACAGATAAATTTTAGGAACAAAATTCCAGAGTTGGCGTAATTTTTAAAATAGATTTAAAAACATAATACATTAATTAAAATGTATTTTTACAAATATAAGAATTTTCAAACAACAGAACGCTTACAGGGTGTCCCGTAAGCTCATGATCAAAAGGGTACTGCGATATTCTTTGGATCAAAAGAAGACGATCTGACCTAACTTTTATTAACAAAAAAT